AATAGTTTGACTCCTTCTTCTTTGTGGCAACCCCTGAGATATTGGAACACAGCTTTCATGTCTCCCCTAGTCCTTCTTTCTATTAAACTATTAAACAGCTTAGTCAAGACTATTTGAAGCCTAAACTTAGATCAAGTTTTTTCATTTTAAATCCCAAAGAAATACAATAATGAATTTCTCAGAGCAATTTTAGCAAAATAGCCTATTAAATATGCCAATGAGTCCAAATGTCCGAAAGATCTATTCTTACTACTCCAAAATCATAATCTTAAATGCTAATTGTTTTGATGTGGTGGAATGCTGAATACAATGTAATAAAACTTTATCCAAAACCTAGTATTAAGCCTGAGTGTTTTGTATTTATTTGTTATTGTTTGCTTTTCAGAGGAGAGAGTTTTGTCCAGTGGTTAAGGTACCAGGTTAGAAACCAGGAGACTGTGAGTTCTAGTTTCGTCAATGCTGGCTACATGACTTTGGGCCAGTCACCACTCTCAGTCCAACTTACGCCAGAAGGTTTAGAAAATAGGAAAACAAACTTTGAGTTATTTATAAAAATAATAGAAGAGGGACTTTTAAAAAATCTTTTAAAAGATACGCAAGTTATCATTCTTGGTGGGCAGATTGCAACTTTACAAAACTGGCCATCTGAACTGATACTTGCTCTGCAGAGGAAATTACTGTTCCTTTATAATAAACTTAATTATTTAAATTTATTTATGCCTTAGGCATAAAGCCAGCTGGGTAACCTTGGGCTGGTCACTTTCCTTCAACCCCAGGAAGAAGGCAATGGCAATGGCAAACCCCTTCTGAAAAACTTTACCAGGAAAACTACAGGGATTTTTCTAAGCAGTCTTTGAAAATCAGACACAAGTGAACATAAAGGAAATTATTTTAAATTATTATCCATTTGGGAGTTCCTGAATTTTTACAAGATACCAAAATCAATGAATTTATATAGCTAGTATATTGTTTGAACTGTGCAGAGCTGTATATAAAATCAGATATATTTTATTCATACCATCAACTGCTATTCATATTTTATTTGAAGACATAACACATAAAAACACAATTTGCATAGCATGCTGGTTAGTCCCAAATTCCCAAATATATTACATAAAATACAAAATAAGGCAACATCATTATCATAACTTTTAAAAAATATTGGAAGATGGTATTTCATCTACAATTCATATAGCTGAAAATGATAAAAGCATTAAAAATAGTAACGTGAAACTATGCCTTAAAAAAAGGATGCTTTCTAAAAATTATGGAAAACCTTTCTTTTATGTGCATTGTTCTAGGCTGATGGTTGTGCATTCTAATTTGAGAGCCATAGTAAAACAGTAACATAATATTAGTATACTATAATGTAGTACTCAACTTGGGTAGAATTATCACTTAGACGAATCATAGAGCTGAATTATTTTGGCTCAGTCACTTGGGGAAAATCTTATGTTATACTATTAATATTATGGCTTTTCTTGTGTTTATTAAGCTTCAAAGGATGCTCAAAATAAAAGTATAGAATCTAGTTTGCTTAAAAAATAATTTTGAGTTATTTCATGATTTTACTCTTGCAAGGGTTTACCTTCACATTAAGTCAGTGCTTAATAAACTAAGCATCAAAATCTAGCTGCCCTGCTTCTAAACATTAACACAACTTTAAAAATCAATCAATATTGATGTATAATGTTTGGTGATATAATCAGCCAGATGTAGAGATTCCACTTACTGAATCCTTCCCAAGGAACTTCAATAGGCAGATATTGTTGTTTAATGGTGTTAAACATATTGTCACAGGATGTAAGCTGCCTTTTACAATTAACCGATAGGATTAGTGGTGCTGCAGATATTTTTGGATGTTTCATGTGCTGTCTTTGCTTTGTTTTGCCACAGTCATTCTATTCCTTGTATCAGTGTTTGTATTTTGTGATTTTCTCCATTTCTTTTGCTTCTATTCTGTTGTCTTCAAGCAACTACAACATCCACTATACATACTTTTTTGTATTTCTTATTGGCAATTACTATTATTTTTGTCATGATTGGTATATGGTATAAACAGAATGTAGGCCTGTATCTTCACTCCGTAAGAATTATATTATGGCATACATAGTGTGTGAAAACTGAAGTATGTGTACTTTTGATATTAATACTGAAACACAAGGATATTTGTGGCCTCTTTTACTGTTAAGTTTCTTACGATATTTCTTATGTCAAAGCTTGCAGAGTCTATTTAATTCTCAAGAGATCAGAGACAAAGCTAAGAAACCAAAATATATAATCTCACATTCTCAGCAGAAAGTACAAATCCACTGAAGGTTTGGTAAAGAAACAGCAAATAAAATCTCTACATCTTAATTGAAAAATGAACAGCTTTCACAAAAAGCCACCAGGTTTTGTCCTGCATCTATATGGACAATAAATAGAAGCTGGAGTTTTAGAAAAATAAATATTTATTTTATAATAAATATTATATTTATTAAATGTAAGTATGTTTATCAAATATAAATATATTTAATATAGTTATATATTATAATAAATGAAATAATATTTTTAGGGATTGGGAATGAGGAGAGAATAAATGCATATATTAGGAAGCAGATTCTAAGTAAATGTATTGGAGTATGTATTTCAAAAAATCTTAAGTAGAACTGAACATGACCAATAAGAGGAGAAATTGCTTTAAAACACTATTTATCTTTTAGTCATTTGCTTTTTTAAATTACCATGGTTTATTCAACTGTATTGTTGAGAAATATTTCATAATACAAATGGTAATGTTTGTGTGCCTTTGCTTTTTTAATTAAATTAAAATATTAAAAAATATTTATAAATAATGTATAACTCCTCACAGTTTGAAATATATAATTTAAGCAATTTATCAAAAAAAAAAGACTGCATTCTTCCCTCACCTATACAAGAATTTTCTTATAACAATCTGCTTTGCGAAATGTTCTTATCCTTGTCTATAAATTTCTTTGTTGTTTATATTCAACTATCTTCTCATGGAGAAAATCTATGTGTTTGCCGACAGTTGATACCAACTTGATAGCACATAATCATTGTCATCATCAAACTATCTTCAAACGCCCTGTGATAAATGATTTTCTACTGCATATACTGAAAATGAAAATCTGGCATTTTTTCCTTGCTTTTAGTCAGTTGTATAATCTAAAACTGGAATGAAAAACATCTGAAACATATCTAGTTAGCAAAACTGGAAAGAAATATAGATGTTTAACTTGTAATGGTTAGTTTGTTTTAAATAAAGTATAACATTTTATACTGCAAGACCATTATCAGATAAAATTAATGCTCTTGAATTAGTATATTATTTCATTTATTTCATTTGTATGTTGCCCATGCCCAAAGATTTTAACTATCTAGCAATTTATATAATTTCACTGACTAAAAACACCCTCAAAAATATATAAAATTATGTATAATATCAACATAATTAACAAGAAAATTATCAAAAAGATAAACAGAACTATACNCCCCGGAGTTCACTTAAAATGATACTGTGGCGAAATCAAGAAAAATAAATAATTTCATAGTGAGACATATGTATTCCCCTTCTTTGAATGGTATGGAATTCTAGGGCAGCACTTTAATGTATTACTTATAGAGACTAAATTAAATTGTATTATTCTTTTGCAACCTTATATAGATTACTATCCAGATGAGCTAGTTCTATTTTATGCAAGGCTACATTAACAGAATCTTGTAAGTCTGAAGACAAATCTTCAACCATCACTTCGAAAGCCTGACATGCTAAGGATAGTCCCTGCTGACCCTCTTTCTCTGCCAATTTTACAGCTATTGCCTATTCACGCTTCTTTGATTGTTTGCTAGGCAGCATGTGTACACCCATCCCTCAGTCTTTCTCACATACCAGTACACATTTAAAGATGCACATTGCTTTCCACATCTTTCAGATTCCTACCTTCAAGTGTGGGGATTTCCAAATCTGTTGAATTTGACTGAATATCTCACATATAATGCTAGAAATGTTCACAGCTGTTAGCTGAAACATTAGTTCCAAGAATAGTCAAAAGAAATCTGATACCTGATATGGGAAATTTGCTGTTGACTCTATATCTCTCCTCTCAAATGTCACCCCAGTTACCCAGCCATAAGACAGCCACTCCATCTACAAGTGTGACAATTGCAAGACTGTCATTACAGGAGCATATACAGGCAAACCCTACAGACATGTCAACCAGGCTACCTTGCTCTGAGGACTCCTTAAAGGGAAGCATATTGATCTGGTACACAGCAAAAATTGTGTTGCTTCCTTTACTGCAGGTGTCTAAGCCTCAGTTTGAGTGATTCTCTGAACAAGGTATCTGTTGGATCGGGTAATGGAAAGGCACGCAAGGCTAAAAGGCAACAACAGCTCTTTATTAAAGAACAACAAATAAGAACAATCCAGCGAAGGTTGAGTCTGACAGCAGCCCTTTTATAGGGAGCTACCAGNCAGTAATTGGGTTTCTGAGCTGAGAAGCTATTCAACATGGAATAGACATACAGAAGTCTATACAATCATTTAAATTCTCTGTCTACTGATACTGTTGACATCAGAAGAAATAATTAGAAGATTATGTCCGGAAAATATTATCCTATCAGTACAGTGCCTGACTTGAAATAGCTCATATAAAGCAACTCATTGATGCCATGCATACTCACTGTCTTGAGATATGACACAACACACACTACACCCTTGGGGAGTTTCTCCTCTGTTCGTAAGCAGCATTTCACATCTGTGTTTGACAGAAGCACAGAACAGCATACTGTTCAACATTCCTACCAAATGCAGGCTGGGCAGGTGAAAAGTTAAAGCAGAACTCAAGACCATTTTTGTTGAACCTACTTTTTGAGATAACATACTTCTTCAATATACTGGATTTTTAAAAAAAACAGAAACAAGTTTTCACTATTGGAATTCATATGCAAAAGCTGAAGGGATTTACTGGGTGTTCTAGCTTTCAATTAATATTTGATAAATGCTGAACACTTGAGTTAACTAGAATTGATGTCTTTGCCTCTATTGTTTGAAAGATGCAAAGTCCAGTTCTTGTTCTGTTAGCATCTTAAGAGAAGAGTAATCTAAGTATCACTTACAGAGTCAACCCAAAGGATATGGAATAACTGGGAGTAAACTGGAAGCAAGCAGCCACAAGATGAAGCAGCACCAGCAAATGAGGCAGCCACACAGACAGTAGAGAAAAAGAAATTGGAAAGCTAGTGTGCAGAATGCATTTCTAATAGAAAAAGCTTCCTACCTGGGGAGTCAGTCTCAGTATTTGGAGAGACTGCATCCACAAATTATCGATCATCTGCAAGGTAAGTTTGTCTTTTGAATAAAATAATTTAGCTTTTCTCATAAAAATAATACTGCTTTGGTTTGTCATACCAGTGATTTCAAACCTGTATGGTAATCTGTTTGGTTTTTGTTCCATTTGTCAGACTATTCAAATAACTGATTTTATATGATGTTTTTAAAATCCATTACATTCCTTTAATTGGGTTTGCCTAGAACTGTTTGTCAAGATTCCAGTTCTCTATTACTGTTTATTTAAAGCTGGGAAATGAACAAATAATACCCACATATGTAAAACTAAAGCATTGTTATGATTTACCAAGTGATACTTATTGTACTTCAATAATTAATGCAAACTATCAAAACAGAAACTAGAGTAACATTATTACATTTTAAAGAGGTATTTTATTAAAATAAGAGGCATGCTTTAAATATACCCAGAAAAGCAATCCAAAGCGTCAGTTATGGTTAGCTGTGATACTATAGTAACTGATGTGAAAGCATAGTGTTAAACAATGCCAGCTTAACATACAGTTTAAATGTAAGTTGAAGATAACAGTTCTGCAGCTTTAACTGCCTTATAAACAAAGCTCAAGAATGTACATTTATATTTAAATTAATCAATTAGATAAACAGACTAGAAACAGAGATCTCTGTTAAATGTTTAAAATGGGGTATGCAAGCTGAATATATCACAGATCAAATTTAAAATATACAAGGGCTACATTATTTTTTTAAAAAACCTATTAATCTTAAGGCTGGAAGCTTAGTGAGATTCTTGTTAAAAGCATTTGTACCGGGAAAATACTTAAGTATTTATCTTTCCAAGTAAGAAAGCATCTTATCCAAAGTATATCACACGGAAAAAATATTTCCACTTTAAAAAACAATATGTATTTTGCTGATTTTAATTATATGATTTTGCTCTTTCCTATAATCTGTTTATTTGTAATATTGTGATTTACCCTCTCTTTCCTCATCTTCTCAACTGCTTCGCCTTCTTCCTTATCAAGTACAAACACACATATGCTCAAAGCATTATGAAGTGCTTAATAATGATGAAGTGAACATGATGGCTGGAGGGGACAAAAAATTGCCCACCGCCTGACCAGATGCTCAGGATCCTACCAGACTGTCAAGCTACAGTCACATTTAAAGGTGTATAGATGGTTTATAATCCAATTAACACTTACACGATATGTATGTATTCCACCCACCAATGTCTTTTCCCATAATAAAAAGAAAAGTCTGATTTTCTGAGTTTGCTTGCCCAACTGTTTACTACAATATGTGCAAGGAAGTTTATTAGTATGGTTTTTTTTGGGATGTCTGAAGTCCAGAAGGGTTAGAAGTGTTTATGTTTGTCTCTACTTTCATGAGAGGGTTCTCTTCAAATTACCAATAGTGTTCTTTGTTGCTTAGAGCTCCCTTGAAGCAGGAAAAATGTAACTTGTGTGAACATGAGACTATAATTTACCAGTCTTGAACTTAAAACCTAACATCTAAAGTGGCAAAGCTTTTTGTAGCTTAGTTATAAGCATTAAGCTGCAGAAATGTTTAGGAGACTGAATCACTGCAACTAAGTAAGAGGTCAGAAATTAAATCTGTAAGGCAATCTTCAAAAGGTTGCTCATTGCCAGAAGGGAAAAAGACAATACGTTTTAATAGATGATTACTGTTAAACAATTTACCCAAGAATCAGGTTACTTTTCCAAATTATTAAAACCCATATAATCTGTGCATAAAACAAAATATCCTGTGTGAAGTACTAAAATAGCCCTATTTATTTCAGAAATCTCATATAATTTATACTTCTATTTTATCAATTGCACCATTTAAACAAAAGCAACAATGAAACAAAAACAACATTAATAATGTAGTCACGTATTTTAATGGCTATCTCTTAAATTTAATGGCTAGCTCTTAAATTTAAATTATAATATTAAACTATTGAAATTATTAAACTATTGAAAGTTATCAGTTAAGGAACTCAAAATAAAATCTTGTTTTTCCTTTAAGGGTTTGTTCACACAAAAACACAGCATTAATCTGGTAGACTCACCACCTTCCCAAGTTTCTCATAAGGTGGAATGAACAGATTACAGGCCATGTCACCTCAACCAAACACACGATCAACAATCTAAATACATCTGACTATCGGGTTAACCACAAACACAATTTTAATAAGAAATATGGACTTCAAATGGTCCTTATACAATTTCCAAGTACAACAATGAGTTTTGCCTAAATCAAAGAGTACTGTAACTATCCCTTAAAGCAGTATTTCATCAAGACATAGAATATATGAAATAATTCAACTGAAACAACCAATAGTTCACTTATCATTAGCAGAGCATTAGATATCCATGAATTCAAGTTCGTTATTTCAACACAAAAATCATAAAATGCCCTTGCTTTTTAGTCTAGTAATGGAACAGTTTGTAGTTACATATTACCCTCAATTATACCCGCAAAAAGATTTTCTGGTTGTCATACCAGACTATTTTAAAACAATTATTGGTTGACATATATTTTAAAGTTTTGCAACTTTACAATAATATTCACTAAGGTATTATTGTTTTATGATATTAATGGGCATCTTAAAATGTAGTTAAATGATGTGAAATACATACATATATTCAAAATTATTGTTCAGTCTTCTCACATCTATAACACTTCATCTAGAAGCAGTTAACATAGATATGTGATGCAGAAGAATCCAAGTAATGGTACCGAAAAGAAGAAAACATATTCAGAATGCAGAAACCAAAGCATATTTAATGATGATGTAGAAATTTCAAAAAAAAAATAAAATAGAATTTAGCAAATAAATCACATATAAAAAATAATCTAGCTATTTAAAATTCCAGCTTTTCTTAGTTTCAACTTAATGAAAAATGTTTGTTTTTGCATTTCACACCTCCAAGAAGGAAAAACAGGAATAGAGAAATAGAGATACACAATTTCTCATCATAAGAGGAAGCTATATTTTCAAGAAACAGAAGTAAAATTTCTTTCCTCCAGAAAAAAAACCCTTTCATTTATTGTATCAGCATTTCAATGCATAAAACAGATCACCCTTTCCCACATACAAAGCACAGAATAGGATAAGGTGAAAGTAAGTGGATATTTTAGGCAAGCACCATTGTTTTATGAATAAAAAACAAATTAATAATATAACACATCTTCTGTTACTATTTTGTATCAGATTTTGAATGGCAAAATGGTATTTTACAAGATTATAAGTAAACATAAGACTGAATTCTAATTTTACATAATTTCTGTTTTGAATTTGGAATAGTTTCTTCTTTTTATTAAACAGAAAACATAACTATTTAACGTGTAACTGCACACCATACAGCTACTCTTTGGAAAGCACAGTCAAATGTCTATAATGCTTTTTGATTCTCACCCAAAATATCCAAGTGAAGAGCCATAAATCAGTATCTTCTCCCCTCATGGTATCAAAACCATAAGGTAAATTTAAGAGTTTCCTGCTGNTGGTCAGCTTGATGCCATTTGCAAAACTGCTGGCATGTTTCCTCTTCACACTGGGTAGACCAGGCCGAAGGTATGTGGGCTGGCCCCATATATTTACCAGGATGGTCCCACAGGTCAGGTCCAACTACATTGCGAGCCGGATGTTTGACATCCCTGGTCTATAGTAACAAAATATTGCAGAATTGATTGTGCTTTTTCTCCTGTCCCTCTTAACACCAATGAAGTAGACAAGAGGCAGTTTGAATCTCTCCACAATCCCTTTCTTCCCAAAATTTAAGAAATGCTTCTGTCCTTTTATTTATTTAAAGGTTTGTGAATATTAGCTTCCTGGTCATTTCTATAATTCTCTACATCCCGGAGTTTTTACAACTCTGTCTTTTCTAAAAAGCTTTATGATTGCTTGCTTGTCTCATACACCACCTAGAGACTTTGAGATTGGTGGGAGAGGGGTATTCTATACATTTTATAAATAAAATCATAATGACTTGTAGCAAAAGCAATAGCACTAGACTTATATACTGCTTCAAAGCCCTCTCTCAGCAGTTTACAGAGTCATCATATTGCCCCCAAGAATCTGAGACATTCAGAATCTAACTGACGGAACTACAGGTAGGCAGCAATCAGCAGAAGTAGACTGCAGTACTTCATTCTAACCATTGTGCCACCATATAATTGTATTTATTTATCAATCATTTCTAAGCAGCCAGATAAATCTTCATTTCTACAAAGTTATCTTTCTCCAGATCATCTTGCAGGATAGGAATTTATAAATGCAGAATTTGTAACGATAGAATAAATATCTGAAACAAAGCTGTCCTTCAAAAGTATCAAGAAATTCCCCCAGTGTCTCTGAGAACCCTGACAATTTTTATGGCCAATCTCCTTAACAGACCTTTTTAACAAAATACCTCATGAAAGTCTCATTTTTATTTGTAACCCCCTTGATAAAGATTTGTTCAAAACACACAGCACTGGATTTACAGAAACTGAAGTTCCTATTGGCACGTGAGATATTCTTTCCTTTCCACTCCCTCTTTCTTTTATTTGTGGTCTTTTTTTCCTTTGCGAGCAAGGAAAACCGCAACATGTGTTTGCTTCAATTTCTAGAACAGAAATCGATCTGACAAGTAATCACTTAATAAGCATTAACATATCTATTAATATGGAGGAAAAAAATCATATCAGAACTTCACTAAACTAAATAGTTAATGTTGACATTCCATGTTCCATGTTCCATGTTAAATTAAAACTACAGATGTAGATGGGAAAATCCCAAGAGGAAACTGCTGTTACATGAAAGGTGCAGCTTGTGATTTCTTAGCCTGTGCTAATCAGGCTTTATTGATATAGAACTGCTTAGTCTTTCATCAATCTGATAAAACCAATGAGTTGCATTGTCTATGTGGGAAAGGTCACATAAAAATGAGATAGGCTATATAAACTGTATGAATAAATTAATCAGCGACCTGAAAGATTTAAAGAGGACAGCTTTAAATTCAGGGCACTCTCCTACTCCAAAACT